GATATATACTCAAAAGTTAAAGGACCTGAAAAAAGAGGACGAGTGCGTTGTCTTGGAAAGCTTCCACGACATGCAAGTTCATACCAAAGCTCTACCATAGACAATAGGATTCAAAAATTAGAGAGTTTGCTTGGAAATCTTGTTGCTGTCCTTCAATCACGGTTTGTAGATGATCCACAGATTAATCAAGTTTTACAAGCTGTAGCTGAAGAGGTATGAATTTTTATAATGCAATTTATTTAATAACTCAAATGATATAATTATTTATAAATTAAAAAATCTTTTTTTTTCTCATTTAGGTACCTATAAATGTTTCAAATGATTCTATCAGTGAAAATCATCAAGCATGTGAGTGATGATGAGGCAGGGCTTATATATAGTCAAAATTGTCTTGACGAAATGCATATAGAATCCTATACGAGCCAAGACAATTCACAAGGCAACGCATTTGCATGATTCCATGAGAATTACCAAAGAGACAACCACCAGGCCAAGACAAAAACTAGAAAAAAGGAAATATGATAGGAAGGAACCATGGTAGAAACAGCAGAAGAATACTCACTGATTCGTGCGTTAAAAAGTACTCTTTTTTTTTTTCCAGATCATAATTTTCTCTCTTCATGTCATGTAATTAAGACTAGTATAATAGACGTAAGGAAAACAGTATTGAAGACAAAAGAAAAAGAAATTTCTCCTCTTTCAAATATTCAACGTAACTAAATATTTAGAATCCGAATTCAACATCATTAATTAAACGATAACAATTCATCGCTAATAGATGATAGAAAATACCATTAGTTTAGTTTATTTATCTAAATTTAATTTGATATTAAATATGTCTGTTATATTTTAAGATAATATAAAATAATATTATAATATATTTTGTATATATAGTTTTATTATTTAATGAAATTTAGCAAGAACAAAATATTAAATTAGATATATCAATATATCAATTAATGAAATTTGAACTATACTTCGTATAGAGTACACATATTCTCTATAAGAGATATATACATATATGTATGTATGTATGTATGTATATATATATATATAGGTACAATAATAATAATAATAATAATACTTTTACCTATAGTCAGAGCATGTAAGAATAAGTTAATGACTTTTACCTACGGTCATAACATGTAAGTACAACTTAATGGTGTTTACCTATAGTAGGGGGTGAAATATAAGTCAATGACTTTTACCCACGCATATTGCAAATTGTAGGTATCTCCTATAGTGACAGTCAAATGTAATTGTTGGTAAAATTATGTCTGTAGGTAAAACTTATAGTGATAGGCTATTAGTGACAGTGGAGCAAGTAACCATATGTGTGGGAAAAGAAGCATGTTCGTAGAGCTTGATGAATCAGTAAAGGGAAACGTGGCTTTTGGAGATGAATCAAAGGTGGCGGTGGAAGGAAAAGGTAATGTCCTCATCCGACTAAAGAATGGAGAACATCAATTTATTTCCAACGTATATTATGTG